CTCTCTGTTTTGTTTATTATATAGACAAATCTCATGACACGAACCTTTGACGGTTAATCGTGACGATAAAAAAAAAATTCCTTTGTCGTCGTCGTTCAAACCTCTAATTGACACTTGAATTCTCGTGCCGTGTTCATTTGCCCGTGACGTGACAATTTTTTTTTGTTTGTTTTGAGACGAAAGGGAGATAAAGAGAAAAAGAGAGGGAGGTACAAAGGGAGAAAAAAGGGATAGGGGGGAGGCAGAGACAGAGAGTGAAAGGGAAGGTATTAGAGAGATAGAGAAAGCGAGAGAAAAAATGGCATAAAGAGAGAGAGAAAGAAAGGGAAGGTATGAAGAAAAAAGTAGTGGGAGGGGGTATAAAGAGAGAGAGGGGGAAGCCGTAAAGAGTGACAGAGAAAGGGAGAGGGGGGAGAAGGCATAAAGAGAAAAAAATAAGAGTAAGAAAAATCATAGAGAGTGAAAAAAAAAAAAAAACGAATTATATCGTTTTGCTGACTTTTTTTTTTTTTTTTTTTTTTTTTGTTTCTGAAAAAGTTTTGAAACAGCAAAAACGACGGGGACGACGATGACGACATAAAACTTTATTATTATTATTATCATCATCATTATTTGAAACTTCATAATTTAATTAGATAAATAGTTATTAATGATAATTATTAAAATAATTTTTTTTTTTTGGAAAAACCTTTTTACGTGTTTGTGTGTACGGAAATACGAATAATGATAATGATAATAATGATGATGATGATTATGATGATGATGATGATTATTATTATTATTATTATTATTATTATTATTATTATTTTATAATTTCTACGGATTATTTAGTAATTAAAATATGAATAGATGAAAAGAATAAATAATTGCGGATAAATAAATAAATATTTGTTGTTTTAATAAAATTTTATATATATATATATATATATAAATGAATTAAGGTCAGGTTAAATGATAAAAAAGGTTTGGAAGGTTTAAAAAGGGGGGGAGGGGGAAAAGGGAAAAGGAAGGAAGAAAGGAAGAAAGAAAGAAAGAGAAAAAAAAGGTTTAACGTTATTTATAAATGTTTCAAAATTAGAACGAAAAATTGGGCCTTAGGGAAAAATTTTTATTCGGGAAAAGTCATTTTCATCACTGTTTCTCTCTCTCTCTCTCTCTCTCTCACTTTCTCTCTCTCTTTTTAATTTTCCATCAGATTTTTCTTTTCATTTAAAATTTTCTTATTTTTTCCCATTTCCTCTCGCGAGTTTTTTTTTTTTTTTTTTTTTTTGTTCACCTTCCGCCTCGTGGTTTTTTTTATTTCCTCTACTCCTCCTCCTCCTCCCCCCTGCTTTTATTTTCTACCTTTTTCAGTTTTACCTTTTCCCTTTTTTGTTTTACCTTTTTTTCATGTTGTTCGATTCGACTTTTTCCTCGGGGGAGAACGAAAAAAAAAAAAATTTTTTTTTATTCATTCATTCATTCATACATTCAATCAAAACGTGAATGATTGATTGATTGACGGTTGGATGGTTGGATCGATCGTTCGTTCGTTTGTTTGTTTTTTTGTTTGTTTATTTGTATTGCACAATGTTTATTATTACGTAATTTGTTTTTTTTTATTTATTTTTTCTCTCTCTCTCTCGTTACTTAAATAAATGAGAAACAAACAAACAAACAAACAAAACAAAATTTAATTTGGACGATATGAGATGATGATGGAAAAAAAAAAAAATTCTTCTCCCTTTTCCTCTCTCTTTCTTCTCCTCCTCGTCCCTTCCCCTCCCCCGATTTCAATTTCCGGGAAATTTATTTTTTCCGGTTTGGCAATATTTGAAAAATAAAATAAATTTTTTTTTTTTTTTTTTGCTTAAATTAAAATATTCTGAAGTGGTGCAAAAAAAAAAAAAAAAAAAACTAAAAACTCTCCGGAAAAATTCCGAAGAAATTCGGTAGAATTAAGGGGGCGGGAGCGAAAGCGGGGGCGTTCGGGAGGTAAAGTTTTAACCGTGTGCGGGGGAGGTAGGGTGGAGGAAGGAGGACGGGGGAAGTTTTAAAATTCAAAAGAGAAATACACGAAAAAAGTTCAAAATACATATATATATATATAAAGAAACAAAGTTTACAAAATCTTGCAAAACTTTTTTCTATTTTTTTTTCTTTTTTAGCCATTTTTTTATTGCACCTGAGCTTTTCTTCATCATTATCATCATCATCATTTATTTATTTATTTATTTTAAAATTAAACAAATTGAAAAAAAAAATATTTAAGGAATTCGTATCCCTTTGAAACGTCAAATAATATCAAAATAATAATAATAATTAATTATCTCACGCGGGAAATTTAAAAAAATTTTTCCCTTTTTATTAATATATAAATAAATAAATAAATAAATAGACATAGACATTGATAAATTGGATTATTATTATCATCATCATCATCATCATAATATTTTGTTATGTGATATGTAATAATAATAATAATGATAATTAATTGACTTACCGTGTTATGTATAAACGTGTTTTTAAACACACAAATAATTTTAAACTTTTTTCTAAAAAATTTAATAACGAAGGCCTTTTATTATTATTATTATTATTATTATTATTATTATTATTATTATAATTGACACAAAATTCGATTTAAAAAAGGTTTTTTTTTATCCGGGGAAAAACAAACCACGGAAACGGATTTTTAAAAAAAAAAAAAAAAGAAATGGAGAAAATTTTTCACATGTCGTTTATATGGGGGAAAATTTTCTTTTTTTTTATTGGTAAAACACCGAAAATATTTCACCGATCGTTTTTTATTTATTTATTAATTAACCGTGTTATTATTATTATTATTATTACAGCCTCAACGAAAAAAAAAAAATTTTTTTACTTTTTGTTTGTTTGTTTGTTTGTTGGGGGACCGTGAAAATAAACGTATATAAACGTAGAAATGACGGTTGTAATGGCTCCGGTGCAACTGGCTTTTCCCCCAGTTTTTCTTTCTCATTCATGATGTTCCTGCTCGCGATTCTCCGTAATTGATCGCATTGAAACTGAGTTTCTCTTTATCGATTACTTTTCACGCAACCGAAAACGCGTCGCAGGGAAATTTTTTTTCTTCTCCCCCTTCCCTCCCTTCCCATCCCCCCTTCTCCCGTGTCGTTCGTGTTTAAATGCAATAATAATAATAATAATAATAAATAATACCGAAGGATGATGATGACGTCATTTCGTTTTTTTTTTTTTTTTGGAAATTTTGGCGCAAATTTTATTATCATTATCATTATCATTATTATTATTATTATTATTATTATTATTATTATTATTATTATTATTATTATTATTATTATTATTCTACGAGGGAGTTTTTTTTTTTTTTTTTTTAAAAAAAAAATCATAGAGTATAAAAAAAGAAAAATAATATATATATGGGGGAGGAGGACGAGGGAGGGGGCGGAGCGGGGGAGAATGGAACGACGAAGGGAAATTTTTTTAAAAAAAAAAAAAAAAAAAAAGTATAAATGTAAAATGAATTAATTTATATGTTTTAACTTATGGTTAAATATTATTTTTTTAAATTACGGGAATAAGAAGAGAAAGGAGAAAAAAAAAATTATTATTATTATTATTATTTTTTTTTTTATATATATAAAAAACGTTTAACAAAGGAATTTTTAAAAAGAGTGATTTGAGTGGGGGAGAGTAAGGAGGGGTGGGGAGAGATCAAGGAGAAGAAAAAAAAACGTTTTGAATCGGGGAGGGGGAGAGAAAGGGTTAAAAATGCTACGTGATTTTTTTTTTAACGTTCTTATACGTATTCGGAAACGACGGTAATGAGACCCCTATTATTATTATTATTATTATTATTATTATTATTATTTTGAATTTTCGATACGATTTGATGGAAAATCGTTTTTTGTTTGTTGTTCTTTACTTCCCGTTGTCGTCGTCGTCGACGCAAAAGACAAATTATCTTTGTCTATTTTGTATATGTGACGTAAAACAAACAAACATGAAAATCCTCGTCTCGTTTGTCTGTTTATTCTTTCGATAATGAAAACAAAACAAAAAAATTAAAATTAAACAAAAATTGAAAGGTATGATGAAAATCCCCGTGTCAGGTTTACTATTATTATTATTATTATTATTGTAAATATAA